TGTGTATAATGGTTGACACTAGTAAATGTGTGCATCACGAGTGTTATCATATTACTAATAAACATTATTCAAAATTGTTATATGATATATTTAGTAGCAAATAAGTTTTACTTCTATGGTATGTAAACCTTACGCAAACACTTTTTTTTACATCACCGCATCCATTTTTGAGAAAACGTCGAAGGGAAGCCAAGTTTTTGTTACAATATATACACATTATAGATACATACTTTATATCCAATTTTAGTACCAAACGATTCAGAATGACCTAAAACTAAAAATCAAGTTTTCTAATGAAAATCAACTTTTCCTTCAATAATAATGTACATTGCCGCCAATTGAACTATAGTTTTAAAATAAGATTTTCAACAAAACGAGAAAAATCAAAGCATTGTAGTTCAAATCGATTTAACAAATCCTCACGTTTTCTTTTTTATTAGGATATCAGTACAAATTTGTGTCAATTATATTTATGTATATAAATAAACTATTAATTATTACTTTTAATACATCTTCTAAAACTATTTACAATTCTAAAATGCCTCAAGATTAAAATATAATTTGTTTAACAATACAGAATAGAATCTTATTGCAACGTAATTTTTATTTGACTAATTCTAAAATAATTTTTAAACATGAATTAATTTTTGGCTCCTTTCGCTAATGCTTTCAAATTGCCTAGACTTATTCATACTCATGGGCAGATGACGACATAAATGTTATTTGAAAATGTGAAATTAATATGTTCGAGAAGTCAATTGTGATATAAGACTCGCATTTATTTTTCACATCATGTAGTAATAAATGTTGATAAGAACTACTATTGCTATTCGGAGTTAAATTATGTAAAGTAAACGGCTTTGGATTTATCAAAATTCATGAATGCTAAATTAAGAATTAAAATGATGTGAATGATTATATGCATACCCAAAGAAAAATCAGTTTTCACGTTCTTGAAATATTATATGATGAAAAATTGCAAATAATCATCATAATGGAACGCAAGTCTATGAAAACTTTGAAAAAAATCCTATAGGCACTGTAATAAATTGCACAATTTCTATAATGAGTGTTTCTCGCCATTTTAAATTTGGCGAGATTAATATCAACCAAACATCATTTAATATATCATAAACATATTTAACTCAATAAATTTCAAGCTGTATAAAATAATACTTCAAAAGTATGACTGTTTGTAATCACCTCAAATGTATTTTTACTTTCAAATTAGACGCTTGTCTGAAGCGATGCAACAGGTGTCAGGAATTAATCTTGTTAGTTTTAATTGTTAAGTTAATTTCCGTGTTATCGAAGAACAACTTGTAATTGAGATGCAGATAATAATAAAACTTTAAGTCCCGGCATGAAATTTGCTATTTGAGCAAAGTCTGGACCAGAAACCAAGGCTGTATGCAAACCTAAACCACCTGATAAAATAGAAAAAAATGTAGATAAAACAGCATTAGAATTTATTAAAATTTAAAAATAGAAGAAATATACATGGTGTCTCAAAACTTAACGTCAAGCCAAAACGGGATGATAATATTGATTTTGATTTGCACCCTGGATTGATTTTGATTGATTTACACCCTAGTCGCGCCTAAAGAAGTTTTACTTAAAAAAATCTCACATTTGGAAATTGAGATTTTAAGTGCATTGTGAATTTTGTTTTGCATTGGAAATTGAGATTTTAAGTGCATTGTGAATTTTGTTTATTTTAACTTTGGAACTGCAACCGTGAATAAAGTTCCTAGAACCTCAGTAAAAATTAACACAATTGTTTTCAAGAATTTATTTTAGAACTTTTTTTGTTGAACTATGAATTTAAAATTTTTTAAATCTGTCAACTCTGTGTGGCCCTTCTTTCAAAAAATAAAGTATTAAAGTATGTTGGCAAGTTTTATCAAAAGCTGGTGCATTTAAAACTTGGGGCAATTGTGTTATTTTTTACTGTAGTGCTAGAAATTTTATTCACGGCTACGGTTCCAAAGTTGAAATGAACAAAATTAATAATGATGAAGCAATATAACCGAAAAATGGTCATAACTTCACTAAAGCGCTAGGTTGCACTTAGAAGCTCATAATTTACAAACAATGTGGGATTTTTTTTCTAAGTTTTTCCAGAACATTTAGGATCAATACTATCACCTAGTTTCGGCTTGACATTAAGTTCTGGGATACCCTATATAATGCTTTGTTAATATGATATCAAGTATAGAATATTTGATACCAAGATGATTTCAACATATTTAAATATGAACACCAAAGTGTGTTATCATTTGGTCTAGACCAGTTATTCCCAAAGTAGCTTATATGGAACCTCACAATACAAAAAAGTTTGGAAACCTATGGTCTAGACTATTTAATTAATTAAACTTATTTGAACAATATTTATTTCATGCAACAAACCTGCATAGTCTCCTATTTGAATCATTTGCACACCATTTGATGCAAAACTTGAAGCGTATGATCAGATAACTGCAATTAGAAAGTTAATAAATAACACAAATTATATTGTTTGTATAGTTTAAATAAATAAATAACAGAGTCTTACTTACTCTATTTTCTCTAAGCATATCGTATAAGGCCTCTAACTTCTTAGATACATCTTCCAATTTTCGTTTCAATTGCTTTAAAATAATAATATAATCATATTATTCATTAATTATAAAAAACTAAAATTATTATATCTATATATATTTCTAATACCGGATTATTAGCGTGCTGAGCACATTTGTTTCTAAGTTCATCTAGCACAACTTGAAGATAAATATGCTCTTCTGGAATGGGGAACTTTTCAACAGGCTCTGGAGCCGGTGGTGTAGCAACTTTCTGTTGCATTTGGTTATTTAAGTTATCAACATATCCATTGTTATAATTCTGTTAAAATGTTAGAGATTAAGTTTACCAAAAAATTAGGGCAAATATACTAATCTATCATGCACATATATTTTCTAAACCGATTTTTAACCTGATTAAATTGTTGGTTTTGATTCATCATGGCTGGAGGAGCATTTGGTAACCCCGTGTTAAATTGCGCGTGTTGTTGTTGAGGGTTCATGAACTGTTGTTGTTGCTGTTGTTGATGTTGCTGAGGATTCAACATTGGCATTTGTTGATTTTGTTGTGAATTCAACATCATCGGCTGCTGCTGAGGTGGCTGTTGGCCAAACAGCGGATGTGTAATCGGTGCAGTTGTTGCTTGATGGTCTGCATGAATATGCTTTGCGCCTATAATTAAAAATAAAACAATAGAAATGATTCAAGTTTTTGATAATTATTAGGTTGACACCTAGGTAAATGTGGCTTTCAATCTTAGATGGTTTAAATTGAATTTATAAGTTTGCTGATGTAGTCAAAATTTAAAATACTTTTTGTTATTGGATAGTAAGTAATAGTAAATCAGTAAAAGAGAGTTTTTTGATAGATTGCATAGTTTTCGTTCAGTTGAAGTTGATTACAAAAGAATTGTCTATATTAAAGTTTTACGGCCAACCGAATGATTAATTCTATTGTCTACATTGAACAACAAATAAAATTAAAAAACACAGAAGAAAAGCGGCTGGAATTGACAAAAAAAGCGGTGATTTATTCCATTATTGATATCATATCTTTGGCCACTCAACAAAAATTATTTAAACTTGGTTGGGATGTTTTGCCATATCCACCATATAGTCCTTACCTTGCACCTTCTGACTTTTTGTTTCAATCTTTACAAACTTCATGAATTAAAAGAAGATCAATAATTATGATGGTGTCAAATTGTATCTAATTCAGTTTTTTGCTAATAAAACTGGAAGATTTATGAAAGTGGGATAATAATGTAGATTGATGACAAAAAGTCATTGATCATAATGAACAATGCATTACAGAATGCAGTTATTTAGTTGCATAAAAAAAATGTCTGATTATCTAACAAAAATCCGCAATTTCTTAGTTGCCAACCTAATATATAACGCAATATAGATGATCTAAAATATTATTATGCAAGCTGCACATTTCTGATTTGATTTTTAGTATATGTCCATCATATGTTGGTTTCTCAAATCTCAGTTAATATAATGCTGAGATCACTTGTACTTCTAATCACTCAATTAGAATAAGATAGTGTTTGCACTTGTACTTGTCACTGTGTAAATAATTAGAATTGTCAATTTCTATTCTATCATCCTAAATAAATTTTCAAACAGTTTTATAATTCCAAGAAAAAAAAAAACACAAAACAAGCACAACCCCACGCACACACAAAGTTCACCTTTCCCTTTTCAGTTTTTGATTTGAGCCAACATCTGGTACCAGCATGGCGAGCTGACATTTCTTCTAACTATATAATAGTATCTTTGAATATTTCATTCGTTTTTGACAATTATTATAAAAACATAAATTTAGAAATTTATAAATATATATATATATATATATATATATATATATATATAATATAATATACAATACTCACCGATGATCTCCTAGTAGAATTAAGTACGGGTGGATCATTCCAACCTGGTGGTGGTGTAGGGTTTGCTCTACTTGGCATTTGAGTAGGAGGTGGTGCTTGCGGTTGGAATTGATTGACAAAACCTGCTGTAATAACATGACATAAATAAAAACATTTATCATTCATTCATCGGTTCTTGGATATGATCATAAATCAGGCAGCATTTACAAGTGAACATTTTTAATCGAACTATGTTTACTGAAAAGTAGTTGGTAAAGTTCCATAAATGATAGTTTTGACGCTATAGTTCAAATACATGCAAATAAATTTATATAAAATGGCTCAAATATGATTTCAATATCCTTAAAACTAACCTCCTTGTGGTGAATTCAACATAGGGTTAAGTAGGGCATTTGTTGGTTGAGGTTGAGAACTAATAGGATTCAGAAGACTTGCTGGTTGTTGGAATTGACCAGACATTGTGCTCATCGTGACTTTAAAAAAAAAAATTTGATTAGTATTCAAAATATATAACATATTTTTTCCTCATTACCTGTATTGGCATTTACAGGCGAATTGTACATTGAGTTAGAAGGCATTGGACTATTGTATGATGTATTGTTATATACAGAACCATATGGATTGGTAACACCTGATTGTACAGAAGGATCTAAGATGTATTTACTTCTAGAACTACCACTAACAGATCCTAAAACAACGTGTGTGAAATTACATTGGTTTATAAATGAGTGAAATTACATTACAAATGTTTATACTAATACTAGATATTCACTTACCATGAGATGATCCAACACTCACAGGTCTAGGTGGAGGCTGCATCGGCGGTGGTTGGACAGGCTGCGGCGCCTGTGGTAAATTAGGCGATTGGAACATCGTGGAACCGATAGATGGGGGTTGGAAAACATTACTTGGTGGTTGACCAAACTGTTGTTGCTGCTGTTGCTGTGGCATCATGCCGGTGCTTGGAGGAGGTTGCATAAGAGTGCTAGCCGGTTGAAGAATTGATGGTTGGGACAATGGGTTAGCCATGCTCGATGGAGAAAGTATAGAACTTTGTGTTGGAATCATAGGATTTGATTGAGGCATAGCTGGAGGTGACATTAATGGATTGGAAGATGCCATTATTGGATTTGTAGGTGGCATCATTGGCTTAGGTGGTTGCATCATTGAGGAAACTGGAATTTGACCAGGTAATCCTGTAATAAATAGATTAATAAAAAATAGTTACATCTTATAAGCTTTTAAGTTGGTAATATACATTACTATTATAGCAGTACAAAAACTTACCAGTATTGAACATTGGTGTTTGATTGCTGTTTACTTGAGAATAGCTAGGTTGTCTCATCTGTTGTTGGTACATAGAATTTTGTGAGGTTTGCTGTACTTGCTAAAGTAAAAATTTCAAATGTTCTCACAAAAAAATTACAATACAATACTTCAAAAATATAGTTAGTTTTTTATCAAAAACATACCATATTTTTTCTATAAGGATCAGTTAGGCCTAAAGCACAGTAAAGTCTATCTCTCAATTCATCCAATTCTGTCTGCTCTGCTGGCACAGTGGATTTTTGGCCAAGATGTGATAGAGCTGTTTCCAAAGATCCCTGAGTTGACAACTCCATTGCGTACCGTGTCAACAATGTACTTGTTGATGGAGAAAGCTGATAAAATTATCACAATTAGAATCAAAATCATAAACAATACATTTTGCCATTATGATACCTCAAGATGCTGCCCACGCATAGCAGCAGACGCCCGCATTACTGTCACCAATTCAACAGCGTCCATAAGTGCATTAACATCACAAGCATCACCTGATCCCCCACTAGTAACACGTTTGGCAAGGGCATCAGCATCACCAGCACACGCGTGGCAGAGTGCAGCCTCTTGAAAACGTTGAGCTGATGTTAAACGATGGGCTAAAGTTTCTGTGAATCAAAGGAAAAACAGGTAAATATGCATTATATATTAAGAAATAATGAACACTTATTTGTTCTTCAATTCTTACTCACCGCAATATTCCTTGAAGGCATCTTCTTCATTACAATTCTTTAAAATAACAGCAAGTACCTCACGCCAGGAATCCAGATCCGATTCAGACACTATGCGAGACCAATCTTCAGTGACTAAACCAGATATTAAATGCGATAAAGCTGATTTTGTTTTTGCCTGAGATTCCAGATATCGATGTTGGGTTCTGGCAAGAAGCTCAGAGCCACCTACAAACACAAAAATTATGCAATAGTTTTTTTTAAAAAAGATCAGCTCTCGATGTTTCTATTATAAGATACATGATAGATTGAAAATAATTATCAGCCAATTTACCTGTGATAGAAATTATTATGGCATCAGCCATTCTACCACAATCAAGACAAAGTTCGACAGCTGCTTCAATATTGCCAGATAAAATAGCTAATGTTATCAAACCTTCGACATCTAAATAAACAAAACAAATGAAGTGTATTCTTAATATGGTCTTGATTATAGTATTTGATAAATTTGATCATACCATCACCAGTATTTATTTTAACTGGAATGGAGGGAGGAGTATTAAGATCCTTTATAATCTCTTTCTGTCCGGCAGCTGCAATAGCATCAAAAGCAGCAGAACCATCAACACCCTAAAATAAAAATTAAATATTTTATTTACGTAAGAAGATGTCTGCAAACAAATTGAGATACTGTAAGTACAATAATAATTAATTAAATACTGTACAGCTATACATAAAAAACTAAAAAAAAAATAAAAGTGATATAAATATTTTAAATGATATTTATGACTTAATCACACATAGTGCACTTCATTCAACAAAAATATTTCAGATATTCAATTCTGGTCGCAAATCCTAATAAAAAAATAGAATGAAACAAATAAATATTATTGAGTTATCTAAATTACAGACAATACCTAACATAAATTAAAATACACTTATAAATAATTAAGATTAAAAGCCTAAGTTATATCCATTATTAAATATTATTAATTTATTGAATTTATTATAGCTAAAATATATGCTTCAAATAAAAATAACAATAATTTTATCTAAAATCATGCGCTTAATGCTAATTTACTTGTTTCGATATTCATATGTATAAAAATACTCTAATACACCAATAGTCATGCTGAATAATATTTAATTATACGACATACTTTGATGGTTTATAGAACCTTACCGAGTTAGCACAGCTGATATCAGAGTCTCCTGCATCTGGTTCACATTCAGAAGAATCGCACTTTTATATAATTATAAATTAATAAGTATATGTATATATTTAATTAAAGATAAAACAGTCAAAACTTAGCTAACAATATATCTATTGAAAATATTATTATAGTGTATTATACCCGCAATAATTTCTGTGTAAAAAATTTATCACTATATATCAATCATACAAAAATGCACACAACATAAAATGTTTTATTTAATTGTGATATGAAAAATGATGATAGGAAAAAATTTAACATTGCAGTTCATAAAAAAATTAATAGTATAATAATAATTAAATTATAGAATTATATTATAGTAAATTATAAAAAAACATACTTGACTGAGATTTGCCATCTGATCTGTAAGATTATCAACTTGGTTTGTTTGGCTCAATTGAACATGTTGACCTAATTTTTGTGTAACATCATCAGTTTTGTATCCTGAAACAAAGTGGTAACAATTTAACTTTGAAGGTATTATAATTTTTAAAATACTTGAACAGACATAATCAAAGATTAAACTAGTGAAGTATGGCATCATGCCTTAAGGCAAATTGCTAGTACTTCCCGTACCAAAAGTTTTTTTGTTTTTAAAACAGGATATTTTTTTTAATCTTTGAGAAAATTTGATTTTTGAGAAATTTAAAATTTTTGAGAAAAATTGACTTTTTTGGAAAAAAAAACTTTTAGAAAAAATGTTTTTTTTATTTTGGAAATTTTCAACTTTTGCTTTAGCAGCATAGAGACAAATTATCGAAGCGCGTAAGCGCCGCGTCGCCGTCTAACGGACAAACAATGTTACGGAAGCCATAGAAATGCAAACAAATTGATACACATTTTTAAAACCTCTATAAAATATCTGATAATTTGCTATGCATATGTCGAACGATCATTTTTAACCGCCAAAAGGCATTTTTTTTGCTAGATCTCTGAAACCGATACACCTGCCCTCCCAAAAATTTAACCAGTTCTTAACCCTGTCAATACAAGTAAAATCTTTTTTGAATTTTTAAAATCAGACGCTCAGCTCTCTTAAAAACTGAGGTACCCTTTTTGGCACTTTTTGCCCCGTATCTTCGGAACCGCTAGACCTGCCTTTGCCAAAAACTAATCAGCACGTTTTGTTACCAACATGAATCGAATGTTTTCTAAATATTCAAATCAGTTGATCCGTGTTCCTAAAATCGTCGACGAAAATTTGTATCCGCACACACACACATACATTCATTTTTTCTAAGGTATGCCAAAATGTTCAAAAGGTTTTGAAATGTAAAGATGTATAAAAATTTCCATTTTCGATTTTTTTGCGATTACTATAACTTACCCTATGGGAATTTAAAAATTAATCATTTATATTCTCAGTAATTACCTAATAAATCCAAAAGTTCACCCCTGGTGTCAGGTGCAAATCTGGCCTTTAAGAAGTACCATAAATATCTATCGTTTTGATCTTGAGTTCGATCTGCCTTTTCAAGACAATATTCTAAGAAAGTATTGTTTTGTACACATCTTTCAAGATCTTGAGATCGAGTCACCAGCTCAGGTTCCGTTACCATTTGAGACACATCTACAGTTTTTGGTCGCTCAGAAGTATATGAAATAAGTTTACCTCCAAACTAAAATGATAAAAAATAGTATATAATCATGACAAAGTTATAAATTATATAGTCAAAACGTGAACAAGCTTTAATTGTGTGTTACCCCAAACTTAGCACCAGCTTTCTTCTTTAACCATTTTGGAGGTTTTAAGGGATCACTTGAATGTTGAACAACAGTATTATTCACAGAATTAAACTGATTTGCAGCTTGCTGTTGTTGGAAATTATCCATGCCAGGAAAGGAATCGGCAATATTTTTTGTTGACTGAACTTCCTATAATAATTATGTTAAAAATAGTAAAACTAGGTTTACATTTCTAAAATGCACCAAGTAAATAATGATGTACCTGTACAAAAGAGCCTCCCATAAGAGTGTGAGCACTTATTGCTCCATCAAAACTTGACACAGCAAATAGAGAAGGATCTCGTGGACTTAAACTTACTGCAAAATTCCATTGCGTAGATAAACATTGTTCTGAAAGAAGTTCTCCTCCCTTTAACAACAAAATTGAGTGTCAGATAAATAATACTGTCAGATATTTCATAAATTATATTTATGTTACTCACAGGAACTTCACTGTTAGCATCCCAAATACAGAGTTTATTGTCTTTACCGGATGACAATAATATACTTGGATCTTGTTGACTCCATGCCAATGATAACACACCTCGAGAATGTTTCTGGAATACCTGTAAAATATAGTTCATGATTTTAATTACATTACTTTCTTCCAGCTCCAGAAATTTAATTATAATTCACAAACTAACTTTTAATGGCGATGTAGCAAATCTGAGATCCCATATTTGAACTACAGGATTTTGATCATCTTCTGATGATAAGGCTAATTGTGTAGCTATTTCTGGATGCCAACAAACACACGACCATCGTAAATGTGATTGGCTATCACTACAAAATTAATTGAATACATATCATAAATCAATACATTTAAAATCAATTCAAGACAATATCAAATATCTTACGTTAATTTAATAATCGGTTCATTTTTTCTTAAATCCCACACTACACAACGACTAGGAAATGAAGATGCCAAAATGTGTTGTACCTAAAAGTTTAAATAATAAATATTTGCATTTTGTTGTAAGTATGAAGAAAGACTAACTTGTCTGTTCCAGGCTAAAGAAACAATATCTTCACTCGGTTGTGTTTTTGTTCCTGGAGACATTGGTGTATCTGTTTGATTTAAATCCCAAATGTATATTTCAGATTCACTAGCACCTGATGACAGCAAATTTGTTTGAAAAGGATTCAAATCTAAAGCTCGAACAGCCCCTGAAATAAAAATTAATGCTAATCAGTACCCTTAACTTCTTTTGCTAACTGAAATTATATATATTAACCTGTATGCTTTTCTTGCTTTGCTATAAGTCCTTCCTCTCCATTAATCAACTTTTCAGCATCATAAACCTTAATCTTTCCAGCTTCACAACCTCCAACAATGGCACCTTTTCTGTCGCCATGATTACCCCAAACTAATTTATAAAACCTATCCTCACTCTGGACACTTACGATCGATTCGAATTCTTTATTATTATTTTTGGCATTTAAGCCAAGAATCTCTAATGAACAGGATGTACTAAAACTTGAATCCAATTGCTGGGCGGCGGTGCCTGTTGCTAAATATATTGGATGGACTGTAGCCGGTGACCAGGCTATATTGGCTGTCTTCTGACTCTCCTTCAGTTTCATCTTGACCTGTTAATGGTCAACTGAGGGAAAAGAAATAGAATTAGTGATGATAATGCTCTCAAATGTAATAAAATATTTTGCACAACATTATTTAGCAAATAATGTAATTAAATCAAACAACTAATAACTAATATATTAGTAAACATAGAGACTAAAAGAATTAAAAATACAAGAATTAAAAATATAAAATATTAAATTAGATTAAGAAAAATTGTTTTAGAAGTAAGAAGGAAAAAAGTAGTTTAGTTTAAAAAATTAGAAGAACATATTGAGAAACAAAAAGAAGAATGAAAATCAAAGAAAAATTGAATGGAAGATTAGGATATAAGAAGAGATAGTATTTATGATATATGTATAAGAAATATATATGTAAGAATTGTATAGAATATGATAAAAAATAATATGAATAATGTAGATGGCTAAAATGCTGTAAAGCGGAGGCCAATAAAAATTAAAAAAAAAAAAAAATGTGTAGATGCTAGATAACAATAGTCGATATAATGAAATTTATTTATAACAAGTGATTTTTTTTAAATCAAACAAGTTTTTTTAATCATACAAAAGCATAGGTTTCGCCAAACTCTAAATTGTAAATTTTGTGTAGATGTTGGACAATAAAAGTCGATATTGAAATTTCTTTATTCCAAACACTTGTTTTTCATATAAATTATCTTCAGTTTATGTGTTTATCCCAAAATTCGATTAGGTAATTTTATGTTTTCTCAATGTTTCAAGTCATTCTTAATAGCCTGACTCCAAATTCGGTAAAAGTATGTGAGTGCATATTTTTTTTTTTTTTTTTTAATTTCAATAATTATTACAACTGCTAATTTATTAACATCAAGTAATATTGATAAATAATAATATAAATTTAAATAAATAAAAGAGCAAAGGATAAAATTTACATGAAAATAATATCCGTAATATGATTTAATGTAAAATATAAGCAAATAATAATAAAAATAAAATTAATAAATAATATAAATAAAATTTCTGAATAATAAAATAATACTAGAAAAATAATAATATATAACAAAATAACAATAATAGAAATAGTAAGATAATAATAATAATAATAATAATAAAATGTGAGTGCATATGAGTGAGTGAATAAATGTTATTATTTTGATCCTTTAGTAGTTTCAATATTTCAATGACAATAACGCGATCGACAGAAAAAATATTTTGTAATTGAATTTTCCCAAAAATTTTCAAATCTTTTACTCGATGTTTTCTATTGAATTTTCTATATTTATATTTTTTCAGAGATTATTTTATTCGTTCTTCTTTCCCAAAGTTTGTTTTTGCCCTAAAATTTGATTATGTATTTTTTTTTTCCGGTAATTTCTTTTATGCTTATTTATCTACGGTTTTCTCTATGTTTCAGGTCATTTCAACTCCAAATTTTAAAAAAGTATGGGTCTGTAATGTTATTCGTAAACTTCTATGAAGATAGATAACAACAGTCGATATAATGAAATTTCTTTATAACAAGTGAAATGTTTGAAATCGAACAAGTCTTTTTAATTATACTAAAGCATAAGTTTCGCTCAACTGTAAATTGTAAACTTTTATGTAGATGCCAGACAATGGAAGTTGATAATAACATTTCTTTATACCAAGCAAAACAAACACTTGATTTTCACCTAAATTGTCTCAAATAAGAGATAATAAACCTTACTATTACAGTCGAGGCTTATACGGAGATGGTAAATATTATTATTGACAAAAATACATTTAAACAATTCTGTTACGTAAAATAAGGGTGATAACAAAAAATTATCAATTAATATTTGATTTGAACATAAACTTGGTATGCTACAAGTGTCAAAAAGTGATTTCTTACTTGTTTTAACCGGATAATTATATCCGGTAATATATTACCAAATATTAAAATACGTAATTTTAATTTGTTAGTGAAAAATTAAAAAATTTATTTATAGAACAATTTAATTACTATATTAAAATATATACCAGAAAAGAAATAAGTACAACTCGACACTATCCAAAATTTACCACATAACCTCAAAATACACGTCACCCGCTGACGTTTAAACTAAATTTGCACAAATTTTACAACAAATTCTAAATTTATAAATATTTCAAATTATCAATACATAAAAATAATTATATCTTATTCAGTACTTTTTATAAACAAATTGTTTATGAAACAACAATAACAAGAGCTCACTTTGACAGCTCATGTAACATATCAACAATTGCACAAAAATATATTTTTCTAGAAATGCATTTATTCACAACAATTGTTCAATAATAAAAAATCAATTAAATTTGAAAAGATAAAATCACATGATATATTTTTCCGTAATAAACTCACCTAAAGCAAATAATATTTACTTCTTTGCTTTGCCTGAACACTTTATTATGACATGCACGTCACCACTACAACGTGGCGTTGCAGAAAGCTGTTTTAACAGCTGCATTTTGAATACATGGCGGGGTTTGTGTTTGTAGAATGTATAATAATGATTAAATAAATTCAAATCATCGGGCGCTGCACGGTAACATTATTTCGTTGGTATTTGGTTGATACCACAATAAAAATAATATTATTATTATTTTAATCTTTTAGTATTTTCAATATTTCAATGATAATAATATGCAATTCACAGAAAAAATATCTTTTTTTTTTCTTAAAATGTACTCTTCAAATCTTTTTAACAATGCTCTCTATTGATTTTTTTTTTAACTTCCCGTAGGGTAAGTTATAGTAATCGCAAAAAAATTGAAAATGAAAATTTGTATATACTCGTATCTTTACGTTTCAGGGTTTCTGAACATTTTGGCATACCTTAGAAAAAATGGATGTATGTGTGTGTATGTGTGCGTGTGTGTGTGTACGTGTGTACGGATACAAATTTTCGTCGACGATTTCGGGAACACTGTTCAACAGATTTAAATAATTCAAAAAAAAACATTCAATTCCTATTAATAAGGAGATGTGCTGGTTAGTTTTTGGCGAAGGCAGGTCTAGCCGTTCCGAAGATACTGGGCAAAAAGTGCCAAAAACGGTAACTCAGTTTTTAAAAGAACGGAGCGTCCGATTTTAATAATTCAAAAAACATTTTACTTGTATTGACAATCTGAAAAACTGATTTAAAAAAGTGAAAAAAACGATTTGGCGCTCAAAAATGATCATTAAACATAGGCACATCCAATAATCTGATATTTTATGGAGTTTTTTTTTATTTATTTTTTATTGGCTTTGTAAGCTTCTACATTGACAGGTTTAAATTGAGATTTAATAATACGTTTAAATTTTGTTTACATTTCTATGGGTTTCATAACATCGTTTATCCGTAAGACGGCGACGCGGCGCCTACGCGCTTCGATATCTCGTCTCCATGCAGCTAAAGCAGTACGATTGCTGTAAAATCAAATTCAAAATTTCCAATATTTCAAAACAAAGAATTTTTTCTTCAAAAAAGTATATTTTTTTCAAAAATTTAAAATTTCTCCAAAAATCTAGTTTTTTCAAAGTTTAAAAAATTTTTTAATCTTTTTAAAGAAAATAATTTTTCGTTCGGGAAGTTCCAGCAATTTGCCTTAAGGCACAATGGCATGCACCACTAATTTATTTATTTATTTTTCTTAATCATTTTTCCTTTTCTTAAAATGTACTGTTCATTTTTTTTAATGCTTTCTATTGATTTTTCTTACATCCAAGACATTTAAAAATTATTTTCTTCTTTTTCATTTCCCCCAAATTTGAAAAAAGGATAGGCGTGTATGTGAGTGAGTAAATAAATATTATTGGTTTGATCTTTAAGTAGTTGATTTTTTCTTACATTTTTTTTTTGATGCTTCTATTGATTTTTTTCGTATTTTGTTTTTTTTTTTCTTTTCAATTTTCCGAAGTAAAAGTTTATGTTTTCTCCCTTAAATTTGATTAAGTAGTCCAGTACTTTTTTCTTTTATGCTTATTTATCTATGGTTTTCTTCATATTTTAGGTCATTTTGACCCCAAATTTGGAAAAAGTATTTGCGTAAAAGTAGTTGCATGTGAGTGAGTAAATAAATGTTATTTTGATTTTTTAGCAGTGTCAGTATTTCAATAATAATAATGTAATCCCAGGATAAAAAAATTAGTCACTGAATTTTTCTTAAACTCATTAAATCTTTTTTAATGCTTTTTATTAAATTTTCTTGTACTTTTTCAAAAACCTTTTTCTTAATATTAATTGCCCAAAGTTGAAATTTACGTTTTCGCCCAAAAATTCGATTAAATAACTTTCGACGTTTCAAGTCATTCTCAATCGTGTGGCCCTAAATTCGAAAAAAGTGAATAAATATTATTATTTTGAGTTTTTAGTAGTTTCAATATTTCAATAATAATTGATCTCCAAAAAAAGTCTGTAATAAATTTTGCTCATAATATACTTTTCAAAAGTTTTTTTCAATGATTTCTCTTTTCTTAACTATGACTTGCAGCTTATTTATTGTATATCGAATATAAGTAATATAATTTGTTCAGATATTTATTGTATATCGGAATGAATAATGTAAATTTGTATTGACTATTTAACTTTAAATTAAAAGGTGTTATATTGACTTCTGAATATTAAAGTATGCGACTTCATATAATAATAAGCAAAAACAAAACAAAACAATATCTATTTTCTATGCTGTGAAAAATTCTTTTGTTTTAATTTTTTATGAACTTTTTTTATTACCAAATACCTATATTTATTAACACATTTTAATCACACAGGTTTTAATTATTTTTATTTTACATATTATTACATTAATTTCCTCTAAATGCCGAAGTCAAAGAAAAAATCGAAAACTGAATTTCTTAGTCTAATATCTGCAGATGATGATTCTCAATCTAGAATAAATGTTTTGTGGACTCCAAGCAATTTAGAGAAATTGATGCAAAATGAAATCGATGGTTCCAGAGAGGATTCAGAAATGGTAAATTATTGTTTAGATAAATTTATAATTTTATATTTAAGTAAAAAAACTCAATAAATAATAATAAATGAAAAATTAATATTTTATTTAAAATTATTTATTTCAAGTGTTTTAGCTAGAATTAAAATTAAAATCTGAATTATTTTCAATATTCAAAAAAAATTTTTTTTGCTTTTTCCAAAACGATCGTTTTGTCAACACAAGCAAAAAGTTTTTTTAATCATTCAAATCAGATGCTTCGTTCCTTCAAAAACTGCCATTTTTTACACATTAAGCTCTGTATCTTCGAAACGACTAGACCTGTTTTTGCTAAGAAACTAATCACTACTTCTCCCCATCATTACGAATTGAATGTTTTTTAAATAATTCCAATCGCATGCTCGGTTCTTGCAAAAACCGAGTTTCCATTTTCTGCACTCGTTACTTCGTATCTCGGAAACGGCTGGACCGACCTTTGCCAAAAACAAATTAACTCCAATTCTTATCAGTGGGAATCGATTGCTTTTTCAATCATTCAAATCGGTTGAGTGGTACTCCCGAATACGTCGACGAAAAATCGTATCCACATTTATAAACACAATCACACACACATCCAAAATGCCAAAATGTTCAGAAACCTTGAAAACGTAAAGATATGCAAAAATTTTATTTCGATTTTTGGCCCATTAAATTTAACCTTACTAGAGTTAATAATACAATTGCCCCAAGTTTTCAAGAATTAAGACTTTTTGTTAAACTATATATAATAAAATTTTAAATAAATTTAAGTCGATGATTTAAGAAAGATTTAAATCGATTTTGAAAGGCCCTCCTTTAAAAGAATGAACTAAGTGCGAAGAAAAGTTTCTTCAAAAGTAGGCGTATTAATCGGGATTGCAAAATGGTAAAAACTTGATAATTTTATTATTGAAAAAATAAAACCCTAAAAATAGCATAATAACGGCTAACGCATTTCGCTGATATTCAAATATAAAAATCGATTTGTTATACATTTAGTATGACAAACAAAAATTACATATACAATATGAATATTTAAGTAGGCTTGTGTTCTTCAAAACTAATCATATTTGATAAATGGTCGTGATTACATAAAGAAATGTCATTGTAACTGGTTAAAGTCAGAGGCTTAACTATCGAGATAAACGCATCTGCCAGCATACAAAATGTAATCACCAATTAAAAGTTCATTGAACTTACTTAACTCTTCCACAATAGAAATTATACATACAATCACAAACGAAATGATAAAACAAATATAAAATAGTAAGACAAATTGCTGGAACTTTCCGTGCCGTACAAGAATTTTGAATTTTTTTGAAAATTTTGAATTTTTTCATAGCTGCTAGCTGTTTGTAGAGATGAAACGGTTAAACATATAAATCTTGATACGGAACCTAAAGAAATGTAAATAAAATTTATATTTATTATTAAAATCTCTATGAAATATCTGATGATTTGATATGCATATGTCTAATGATCATTTTGACCGCCACATAGTATTACATATATGTAATGTATTTCTTTCGAATCTTCGAAACCACTGAACCTTCTTTCCCAAAAATTTAGTAAAGTCTTCATTCCGTCAATACAAGTAAATATTTTTTGAATCATTCAAATCGGATGTTCCGTTCTCTCGAAAACGAAATTGCCATTTTTGCACTTTTTGCCCCGTATCTCCGAAACTGCTGGACCTGCCCTGCCTTTGCCAAAAACTAATCAGCACGTCTCCCCATCAATAAACATTTGAATTATTGAAATCGGTTAATCTGTGCTCTCAAAATCGTCGAAGAAAGAACTTTTATGCCAAAATATTCAAAAGTCTTAAAGACATGCAAAAAAATTTGTTTTTCGTTTTTCTTGCGATTGCTATAATTTACCCTACGGCAGTGGTTTCCAACCTTTTTTCGCACTCCGCCTCCCTGCACTAATATAAATAAATTGTTGCGCTCCCCTTTTTTTGATGATTTAATTTTAATTTTATAAATTTCAACTGATATCAGACTACAAATTAATATGCAATATTATGTAAAATATGCATAAAAACTAATTATTTTTTGTTTATTTTTTAATTATTTTTTTATTTCAAGAAATATAATTAACAAAACTAAACGATTGCAATTTTTCGTTTTCTCGACGTTTTGAGACATTTTGAAACGAATTAGACCAATTTCGGAAAAAGTATGTATGTGTGTGTATGTGAACCGATTTTTTGACCATCCGTCGACGTTTTCTCAAAAACGGCTGGACCGATTACAAAAATTAAAATGGGGCGGCATTTTCGTCAGTGCCCCAGAGCCAAATGTCTAAATCCGGCCCTGCTTACGGAAAGTTAATTAATAAATAGTATAGAATTTATAATTTATATTTCTTTCTTGTTAGGGTTTTCAACAAGTCGATCCATCAACGGTTTCGACTCAAAGTTCTTATATGTCAGGGCAGCTTGGAGAATGGGGTGCAATTGGCCTGGACAAAGATAGGTAATTCAAATGCAAAAGATATTAATAATGAAAAATATTTATTCGCAGTTTTTAATCAGTGCATCCTTTATATATCGTAAATATTTAATAGATACGATAAAAATGCAAAGGCGCGTGATATTGCCCTACGTTCAGAATCAGGAAATTCTATGGCAGAAATCATATTTCTGAAAGGCCTAGGACAACATCCTGAAACAAAAGAATTTATGCTGCTGAAACTTGACTTAAGCGGATTGGTAACTGAAATATTTAAATCTACTACTCAGTAATAAAGATTAAAACATTTATTCATTTCTTTCATGAACTGCCTATATTTATTTTTTTAGTGCACTTCCAGAGTAGGCTTAGCGGACCCTGCAGACTCCCAAAATATGTAATTTAGCAATTTTATTCGAATTTGGAATCTTTGTCCAGTGTCTATTTTTGATCTTTACTCAGTGTCTATGATGACAAAAATAAAAATAAATTATTTACGTTTTAGTCACGTGGCTGGTTCATATTCAGTCTCAGCTTAAAAAATGAAGGTTTCTCATTTGAAAATATAAGCACATAGTCTCATAAAATGATATATTATTCTGATTGATTTTTCATAAAGTAATATCAAAAGTATTATCAAGATTTTAAAATTAGATATTTTAAATTATACCTTATATATTAGGAAAATTATTTATATTTTATTTTTTGCAGTTATTATCAAGAAATTCTCAATTTTTGAAAACAGGGAAAATTACAATAAATTCTACAACTATTATTAAAACCGCAAATCGAAAATGATATACCTTTTTAATTCTGAGAACTTATATGCATATATTTAAAATGCTTAGTAAAATTTTTTTTATTTTAGGGATTGATAAAATTGGATTCTCACCTGACCAAATGCCGTTATATCCAAAGCTTAGATTTATCTAATAATTATCTAACAAATATTTCGGAAGTGGGCACGCTGACCTATCTTAATAATCTGGATTTGAATCATAACGTATTAACGGAATGTTTAGCTTTTAAAGGTCTGTAAAACAAGTTAATAAAAAAATTTAAATATTAATATATAACATGTTTATTCAATTGGGTTAAATTATATGAGCCCCAAGTTCACCGTGCACATCTTGTTTCTATGGGTCATTTTAAAAAACTTTGGCAAAACAAATACTTTTAGGATTTTCTTTTGACTATTAACTTTATTAGGAGATTAAACATGAGTTCTTGTAAGGTTCTATTCAAATTTATTGAGAAAAAACATTATTAGAAATATCGCTGGTTTGAAATTCCATCCTGAGCTATGGTTTCTTCAGCAAAATTTCTTAAATGTGTGCGATGTGACCCAATGACCACAAAATTTGACCCGCCCTAATCTAAGTAATAAATCAAATATTCTTGAATTGTTTTCACACTTTTCTTTAACATTAAATATTATTTTTAGCACCTTGGAACCTGACTTATGTGAATTGTTCCTACAATAAAATAAAAGCTATATACGACCTCACAGAATTTTGGTCCCTGGTCCATCTAGATTTATCCCATAACGAAATAGAACGCCTGGAAGGTCTAAACCATCTCATGTAAGCAATGAATTTATGCATTAAAGTATTACAAACTGACGTAATATATATTATATTATTTTTATAAGGTATTTGAGGTATCTCGACGTTTCTTACAATTGTATCAAAAATATTTCTGGATTGACTAATTTGAGATTGATGGAACTGGATCTGTCCCATAACGAAATCGATTCTTGTGAACCGGGAGAGATTGCAAGTTTAAGGCAGTTGAGAAGACTGCATCTTCAGGTTTTTTTCTTTTGACAAGAATATTAATATATATATATATATATATATATATATATATATATATATATATATATATATATATGGAAATATGAATAAACCACACTCTTTTTTGCACTAATTTATTAAATAATAATTTTCACAAACGTTTCGAGGCTAGGTTTGTGTCATCATCAGTGTGTTATAATTTAAAATTTAAAATATGGAAACCCGGTTTTCAAGTGGTTAGTCACGCAATATCAGATAGGAAAGGAAGGATTAGGGTCCAGTTGAAAAATAGATGTCGTTAGGAGAAAAAATATTCTATGAAATGAGACGGTTTGTTGGTGGGGCAGAAGACAGTATATCGAACGACTTGTATCGGATAACACATAATGCTAATTTATGTTTCCATATTTTAAATTTTTAATTATAACACACTGATGATATAACAAACCTAGTCTCGAAACGTTTGTGAAAATTATTATTTAATAAATTAGTGCAAAAAAGAGTGTTGTTTGTTCATAGTTCCAAATTAATATCTATTATCCACTCAGAATACATTTGTTATATATATATATATATATATATATATATATATATACATACTATAAACTACGCTTACCAAATGAGCTATAAGTAAGAACTCTTAGAAGAGATTGAGAAGTCCAGAAAATTAAAATTGCAGTTGTATATGTGCTTTTCATAAAAATAATTTTAAGTAAATCTCTTTCCTTATTTACTTAATAGGCTACTAATTGTCTATTTCTGAAGTTTTGCTAAAATCTAAAGTAATTAAGATATTTAATATAAAAACAATACATAATATATATATATATATATATATATATATATACTACTTAAATGATTATTAGTATCTATTAATAAATATTAACTATTAATATTTCTAACTTAGGGTAAATATAAAAAAGTATAATATAAAAAAAGGCAATAAATGTTAAATTTTCATATATAACAATTAAATCAGTTAAGCCGTATTAAACAGTTTGTAAATACGATAGTGCAAGGGCAAATGTTGTCGCTATTTTATTCAAGCATGAATTAATAAACTTTGAGTGCATATCTTAAGTCGTAGTGTATTCAAAATCTTATAATTAGCAATAAATTGTATTTTTTAAAGGATAACAAGTTGTCTAGCCTGAGCTTAATGAAGGATACAGTGAAATTATTACTGATAAACTTTTCATATAATAGAATCGAGCATCTGTACGAAGCCAGTTATTTACAGGTAAAAACATTCATTTCATTATTTAATTATATATATATATATATATATATATATATATAATATAATATAATTTTAATCGAATAACAATTTCACTGCTTTATTTATAAGTTTCGACACTTTGTATGTATCATTAGTGAATCAAATGAAAAACTAAAACACAAAATTAAAACATTTTTTAATTGACAAATAACAAAAAAAAATAGCAACAATCTCAAACCTAACTATTTAAGAACTTACAAAAAATAATTTTCTAAATTTTTGCCAAAACAAAGAAGCCTAATATATTATTATACTCATATCAAACTGTGTAGTCATGTTTTATTTATTGATTAAATTGCAAATTTTTAATGAAAAAACTCTTAGTTTTATTTTTTGGTTATTTTAACAACATATCAAGTGCCAAAACGTTTAAATAAAGAAGATGACTGAGAAAGCGTACAAATTTTGAGATTGCATTAAAAAAAGTATGAATGCAAAAATAAATACACATATGGTTGAATAATTGACTGAATGATTAGCAAATAGAATTTGGCAAAAACAAACTACTTCTTCAGGACGTTAATGAAATTAGAACTATTTTATTACAATAATACAAATTGGTACCACGAATTGTTATAAACAAATTATTTTAATCAAATCCCAATATGAAATGTTAGCCCAAACTCTTTTATGCGAGTCCAATATCTATCACCATGGTCCAAAATTTTATAGTTGTTGTCTTTCTTGAGTAACCAATAGTCGATCCTCTTATAAGGAGATTTTGTTTCAAACATTATTTCAAATTTGGATCCTTTACGAAAAACATGATTCTTTCCTTTGATTGAATCAAAGTTAGTTTTCATAAATGTATCTATTGTCAGATTTGACCTTGAACGTATTGGTAATGCTATGTCATCTACTATTAAATTTATTGAAAGTCTATCGAGTTCAGACTTGGGCATTTTTGTACGCCATACTATATATTCGATTGACATAGGGACGGCACATAGATACTCAAATTTTTCTACAAGCTTCTCTATGGGTTTGATACGTCCTGGAAATTCTGATTGAAATTTCACAGAAGCTGTTATTTTAGCAAATAATTTGGCTCTGCGAGGTCTTTTGGCTCTGATAGGTGTCATTCTTGGTTCAGTTATTGAGCAAATAAACAAACTCTTGATGTCTGGTTTGGCCTCTTCTTCTGAATATAAGTAATCGTATATAAATATGATATCATTAGCGTCAAATGCTTTTAAAAAAATTGGATCAAATAATAGATCATTTACATCAGAAGTTAGAATACGAACTTTGTTAATCAAACCATGCGACTGAAAGAAAAATTATATAATTTTTATAAGCTCTTAAATAAAACATTTTTTAAAAGGGCTTAATATATAATATACAGTTTTCATATATTGTATTGTAATTACCAAGAGAAAATTTCTGATATGCAATATTTCTTGATCAGAATTTATGTTGTGTTCATATATGATGGTTCCAAAATTTCTACGATTAGTTGCAGATGAACATATTTTTTTAATAGTTATATTTTGAATAGTTCGATTAATAGTAACTAAATTACTATCTTCGATGTGGCTACATTTTGGCCTTTTTTTAATATTTATAGAAGCATATTCATACAAAGCATGGAGGAGCTAAAATATAAAAAAATTAACATACAAACAATAAAATGTATATGATTAAATATTTAACTTAATCAGAATAATATATTAAATAATAAACATATGTATATATTCACATTCAATTCTTCCATATTTAACGAAGGCAAATTAATAATTTCACTCAGAACACCAGCGTCCAGTTGAGCCAATTTTTTATGAAGAAGAATTTCATCAGCATTATTTGCTATAAACTGTAATGTGAATCAGTTTGATTTTCAAATACATTATAATTTATATTCATGAAGAGATTGAAATCAATTTTGAAAATTAGTTAATCATAACTTTTTGTACACATAAATTTTGACAATGCTTCTCATTTGATACCTCATTTTGCTTCATCAATAATAAAATCTAATATTAACAAATGTTAAAGAAAAAATAAGTTCTAATTTAGTAGCATGCATAAGAGAAATATAAGAAATATAAATTAATCTAATTAACTACTTTCCATTCATTATATAAAACTGTAATTAAATACATTCATGCAGGCAGCTTTCTTATATTCGCACTCTGTTTTTGTTGCCAAATAAAAACATTCCAAAGCATTACCAACGTTCAGCTCTAGTCCTAAGAGGTACTTGCAAATAATTGACAATTCAGCAATTTCATATGTTTTTGACATAAGATACAAACCATCGATTTGTCTTACTGTTAATTCATCAAGATCATCATATGAAATGTATTGGTAAATATATCTAAAAAATGAATTGGTTTCTACATATAACACTTTTACTAATAAATATTAAAGTACATAAAAATGTGGAACCTATATGTGGCTCCATCAGTCTTAAATTAACTAATACATGCACATGTTTTATTACCATAAATTAACAAGAAAGCAATAGTGCTAAAATTAGGTGGTTAATTGACTAAAACAAGGTGAATATATATTTGGTGACATGCAATATAATATTATAGTAAATTAATTTATAAACTACTGAAATATTTGCCAATGAAGGAATACATACTTCAAGAATACTTCGAAAACCTTCTTATCTTTTTCCTTGATGCAAATATTCGACTCTACAGTTGAATTTGCAACTAATATTTTATAGACATTACCAAGTGTCGCCCTATCCAACTTGTAATCTGTACTAGTTCCCTAGATTAAAATAAATAGTTAATTAATTATTTAATATTGATAAATACTTTTCCAAGAACGTTACATCTGGAAAAGTGACAGTTATTGTTACGTCTGAAAACTTGGCTAATAATTCCAAACTAAAAGTTCTTCTTTGGCCTGCAAACAATCTTTTCAGAATGTCAAACATGGTGCAAGTGTGATCACAAATTAAAGTAAACAACTTACATAAAAGTGCAAACTTTACAGTTCAATGTGATTTGAAACAAAATCAGTTTTCGCCATACGGTAACGTAGATCGTATATTATATAGATCAGCCATTTTATATTTCAGCACGCTATTAGCGCCATCTAACATTTGACTATTCAATTTTATGAAAATACTTTGGAGCAAGAAGGATAATAGAGCCATAGAGCACCCTTACTCGATTATTTATGGATGCACCTTGTTTTTTTTTCGAATTTTTGATCAATTTTACGATATTTAACTTTCCGAGGGGAAAGTTTATGCTTTCGAGAAAAAATCCGATTTAGTAATTTTTTATTTTCTTTGTGTTTCAAGTCGTTCTGAATCAAATGAGTCCAAATTTGGAAAAAGTATGTATGTGTATGTGTGTATGTGTGTATGTGAACAGTTAATAAGTTAAAAACAAAAACATGGAAAAGAAATTATTACCTCGCAGACAAACAATCATGTTCCAAAAAGAATAAACGAATATAATAAATTCGACCATCACAAATCTCGAAACATGGAATATGAATTAAATCCATTTATACTCATTTATCTATGATGAAGTCGGTGTGAAAATCGCAAATGCCAGCGATGATAAAAGTCAAATTTGGGACTCGAAACGTATGGATCTATTAAATTTATTTTAAAAAACATATCTTAGTTTCCATTCTTTTTCATATTTGGGGGGTGAACCACGGGCATGGGTGGATTGGCCTTCCAAAGTTAGTGGGGGTAGGTCATACATTTGGACGCGATTTGGGCACTCTAGATGAGTCAAAATGGAATTTTTGAAATTTTAACCCTTATTTTTGGGTCAATGCACAGGATTCTCAGATAATTCATTTTAGAGGTATGGTTTCTTCTGCATATATATATATATATATATATATATATATATATATATAATATATTTAAAATTTATAAATATATAAAATAGCTATAAAAACAATATAAATTACTTGAAAAAAACGAAAAATATAACATTATTAACATAATTGAATAAATATTCTTTTATCTTATTAACCATAATAGTACCATAATAATAACCACAATCAATAATTATTGTGAGTATAAATATTACAGAATTTAAATACTATTGGTTCAGCCGATTTTCGAGGAAATGAATTTTGCTATCACAAAGATTACAAGCAATTCGTGATATTTCTTTTGAGAAAGATAGCTATATTGGATGGCGAAACTGTTGACCCAGCAGAAAAGGTAATATAGTAAAAAAAAAAATAACTCAGTTTTATTATTGCTAGCCATAATTATATTTCGTATAAGATAAATTTAGTGCAATCTTTAATTCATAATTCTAATCATTTGTTTCTTTCCAGGTAGTTGCTGTGGGAAGATTCGAGCCCACTGCTTTCGGAGTTGCTAATAGGGATTACAAAAGACTTTTAGCAATAGATTGCATTGCATTGGATGAAGGATTTTGCAAGAATCACATGCACAAACACAAACGACTAAACGTAGGCTGTCCCACAAGTGAAAATGGAATCTTGGACTTTATAACGCCACTTGTCATACTCGTGGGGCCTCCTGGTTCGATGTTAGGTATGAGTACGAGCGTAAACGTATATATATATATATATATATATATATATATATTAATATATATTTGACATAAATTAACTAGCAACAATTGGCATTTCGCTAAGGCAATTTGAATAATTGAAATACTCAATGAGAATAGAAATTTATCACTTTTTCAAATTATGATTAATGAAAACTTAATGAATATTTATAATCAAACTATATTTCGTTTATCCATAATATTTTAGAATATTTGTTTAGACCAGTGTTTTCCAAAGTCGTCCATAAAAACCCCGAAGGACCCATGACAACTTTTCAGGGGTCCATGTCAACAAAAAAAAATGTGCGTGGGTCCACAAAATGTAAATTAGTGTGCATTATATGTAGTATCATATTAATGCCAATAATATCGAATTACAAAATGCCAATATTTTTAAATTGACCTGAAATTTATAAAAAAAAATCTTATTGGGTAAATAGGGTGTCGATGGAAATACACAAGCATAAGGAGTGTACAACACAAAAAGTTTTGGAGCCTATATAGTTTAAGAAGTTTTATTATTCATTAAAATTTATATGTGGATCAAACTCAAATGGAAACTCGCTGTAAGTGGAATTCTGTCTTGAGGCAATTATGGCATCGAGCCTTAAGGCAAATTGCTGGAACTTCCCATACCGTAACGAAATGTTCGAGGAATACTGAATGTTTTCAAATAGATTATTATAAATATTGTAACATTGTCTAATATTTATAAGAATTATATAAACTGAATTGCAGAGTTGAAATTATTTGTAAAGTATATTAGAACTATAGTCAGAATTAAAAATAAAATCTGAATTATTTTCGATATACAAAAAACTAAAAAAAAAAAAAAAAAATGAACAAATTTTTTTTTCCAAAATCAATAATTTTGTTAAGACAAGCAGAAAGTTCTTTGAATCGAATCTGACGCTTAGTTCTCTCAAAAACTGCCATTTTTTACATATTTAGCTCCGTATCTTCAAAATGGCTGGGCTTGCCTTTGCCAAAACTAATAAACACTTCTCCCAATCATTACTAATTGAATGTTTTTTAGATCATTCAAATCGGATACTCCGTTCTCTCAAAAATTCGATTTCTATTTTTTGCACTCTTTGCTCGTTATCTCCGTACCTGCTGGACCTGCCTCTACCAAAAACTAATCAGCTCTTTTCCTTATCAATAAAAATCGAATGTTTTTTAAACCATTCAAATCGGTTGATCCGTACGCCCGAAAACGTGGGCGAAAATTTGTATCCATACATACACACACACACACACACACACATCCATTTTTTCTGAGGTATGCCAAAATGTTCAGAAACCTTCAAAACGTCGAGAAATGTAAAAATTTTAAATTCCGATTTTCGGCCCATTACAATAACTTACCCTACGGGAAGTCAACAAATAGTGAAAAACGTTGAAGCATAGTGTTGGAAAGAGCTTCACTAGATTTTTAACTTTTAAAAATTAATTTAATATAGAAATAAAATTAGGAAAAAATAAGATTTCAAAATATCTGGTCTATTAGTTTGGATGCATTTAGAACTGAAATAGTTCAGATACTTAAAAACTAAAACACAAAATAATTTTGATATTAACTTCTTTTGCAGCTGGACTGTGTTTTAGAGTCGCTCATCAGTTTCCTGATAAAATTCACAACGGCTTGATTCACACGACTTGCGAACCATTGCCGGTAAATTTGTTTTAGAATTATATTAGAATGTACAGTATATTATATTATACACAAAATTAAATTTAGCTAGTTTGACTGATTCAGGCTTTTGTTGTTCAGGTTGAAATTAAAATCTGTTTTTTTTAAACATTTTCAATTTCATGATAGCGTTATTTATGAAATGACAACTATTGTATTGTATACCATATTATTACAAGATTGAAATATTCCCATATGTGAAATACTTCTTAACAAGCAGGAGAATACCATATTACATAAAACCAATTAGCACACTAGCTTAGAAATGCATCTAATTAATAATGACATTGAAGCTAGGAAACTTAAAAAAATTCGAAAACGATTTGTTTGCTTCATATGAATCATTAAATAAAAATATAAACTAGT